TTATAGCCAAAATCACGGACAAATGGGTTATCTTTGCGAGAACCAATTTGGTGTTGATGTTCAACATAAATTTCAAGTGGATCTTGACAAAATCTTTCTGTTAATACATAAGACACACCATTAGAAAGGAAAAATTTTATCAACTCAACAGCAGAATTCACAGTAATTTTAATCCTTTCATAGGTTTGCCACGATATAAACATTTTACTTTTATCATTCAGAGTAAAGTTTCCTTGACGGGTATTGATGGAATTTAACCACTTTTGGAAATATGGCAAAATTCTGTTTTAAGCCGGTTAAAACGATAGACGTCAATAGAAGAAAATGGGACTAAGAATGGCTTTGACTTTTGAATTGATTCCATAGGATTACTAATATTCATAATATCAAAAAAACTGTCAATCATTGAGCAAAAGTTAGCAGTGGCAAACGCATCTGAAGATCCATAATTACTTTACTCACAGTATTGCTAAGAACTTGAGCTGCCAATTTGATGTTCATAATAGAATAAGATGATAATTTTATGTGATCATATGATAATTTTGGAAGTAGATGAAAACCACATGTTTGGTCTTCTTTAAAAATGTCTGCTATGTGACTCCATAGAATGTATAAACCATCATTCCACATGTATCTAGTACATTTACCAGAGCCAGAGCTAAAAATACAGTTTCTTGTTGTCTTAAGAAGATGTGGGGGGTCAGATATAAAGTATATATACCTTTCAGGACAATATAGATTAATAGTTTTATAAGTAACACCTACATCTTTTTATCATTAAAATTAGATAAACGTGAATGTATTTTAACAAATTTTCGGTTAGGAGCAGCACCATCGCAAGTTGTTGCTGTAACTTTGAACTTAAATTCCAGTTCACATAAAGCAACAGCTTTCCAAAATAATGGAAAAATTTGGACAGATTATATTCCAAGTGTGGCAATTTTAGCTAGTGTAGACTTGAAAAAATAGGTGATTTAGCTAGTGTAAACGTAAAAAAAAAAGGGTTAACTATACTGCGTATCATAAATACTAGAACATGAGTTGCTACTGCATCAACTTTTTGCAAAGTTGCATAGTTTAAACCAATATCACCAAGGTCAACAAATCCTATAATTTCTCCTGCATGTTTATCCCATACAAGATTTTCTTGAATTTTAATTTCATCAAACAACAATACAATATATTTTTCTATTTCACGAAAATCTTTTACTTTTGATTTCAACTACTTTACAATATCAGGATTGTAACCACGTTGAGGATGAATACAATTCTTGTAGTCACGAAGACGACGACGACTTGGTAATACAAGAAAACCAGTACCAGACTTTTTATCAAAGCGAATATCCTCATATGCGCTTGGAGACTTAGCACAAAGGCTTAGGCAATACCGTATAATCATAGGATGATATCGAACAGATGTTGGATTTGATAATAAGTATTTTTGTTTCTCAATCCAAAAGAACTTCATAAATGGTGAAACATTATATTTTTCAAAAGCATTTGACATTAGACTTTTCATATCATAATCAAGGTCAGAGGTTATTTGAAATGAATTTTTTGAATTTCTTCTTGCATAATTTTTATTTCTTGTTTTAAAAAAGCATTTTCAGATCGATAGTTTTGCAAAGTAAGTTTAATTCTATCAGGTGAAGTTAATGAGATTGGGGCATTCAATCAAAGGTTTTGTGATTGTTTCAGCTTTACGTTGTACATCCTCATGATGTTTATTATTATGTAACAATTCCAAAGTTTTACATTCATTACAAATATTACCAGATTTTATCAATAACAAACACAAAGTTGACCTGTTAAATTCAGTCTTAAATGTAGTAATTGAAGAAACACTTGGGTTGTACAACTTTGTAAGGATATGTTTTTCAAAAATGTTTGAACCAAAGGCAACACCCTAACATAATGAGTATGTTGATAAAAGAGTAATAATATTCGATAAAGTAATGTTTTAACTGATTTGTTATAATTAGAATATATCTCATGCTTGTCTGGTACAAAAGATCGTATTGTATATAATAGGCTAGGTTGAATATATACTTCATATTGGGGTTGTAGGTGAATATTATCTAATTTAAAAACTTTGACTAAATCTTTTGATATAACAAGTTCCCATGAATCCAACATAAGGGTGCTGACACAATCTATAAATTCTGAAAACGATTTATAAAAAGAATGTACATCATTTTGAACTTTGTCAATTTCACAGCAAACTTTTTTCAACTCAATAATTAATGTTGGAAGTTTTGATATTGCTAAGGAACTAAAAAAAAGGAAAAAGAAAAAACTACTTTTAAATGAAAAATTAAAATATAGATCTTTTTAAAATTTTTATCTAGATGTTTGAACACTCCTTTATGGTAAATTTTTTGAAGGTAAAGATCCTGGTAAAAGTCTTGCTCTAGCTGAATCTATAAAAAAATGTTATTTCAATATTTTTAAAACAAATTAATAATAGACTTATTTAAAATAATATTTATAAATGCTGTCAGAAATATAAACATATATATATATATATATATATATATATATATATATATATATATATATATATATATATATATATATATATATATATATATATATATGTATATATATATATATACATATATATATTTATATATATACACACACACACTTGAATATGTGAACACATAGCTTACTTCTATTAACTTCGTGATCTTCAAAATGCTTTTCGCATGCATGTAAAAGATTCGCTGGCAATTTGTTTTCTTAATGCTGAATCAATCGAACGATCTTTTGTGACAATCTCTTGTAGGTAAATATTATCTTATTTAAAAACTTTGACTAAATCTTTTGATATAATTATATATATATATATATATATATATATATATATATATATATATATATATATATATATATATATATATATATATATCAATTTTCTTCTCCATTCAACATTATAGTTATCCTGGCCTTTAAGAAGACTGAATATTGCTATACCGTGTGGATAACGAGAAGAAGTAGTACAACCATATATTGAACAATTTTCTCCAAGCATTGTACTTATAGCTAAACTATAAAAAATTGTTTGTTTTGCACCTTAAAGTAGGCTGGGTACAAGAACCTAACATCAACGCAAAAACTATTGTTCCCAGGCCGTGTTTCCAGACTATTTATTCTTATGACTATGTTCCATGCTTTGAAGAAATTAAAAATCTTCAATTCCCACTAACCCTAACCCTAACCCTGACGAAAAGAATTAATTTGTAATAAAAGAGAACTGATTTGTAATTTTTAAGCATCGTTAATTTCTAAGCATCGTTAATTCTGATTCAAATGAAGGACCAAGAATATGACTTTGCATAAATCATTTAATGTAATAATCTTTAAAAGCTCTTCTATTAAAGAAAACGGATAAAGACCGTCGCAAAAAAATTTGATTATGATCATCTCAACCTTTTTCTTGTTACAAACTTATTTTTGGACCTAAAAAATTTTATATAAGAAAATGCCTATTTTAAATTGTTTATACCAAACTCAATTACACTTTTCTTAGGTTCTTGTTTTGCATATTCATTGTGTTCCAAGCAACGCTTGTTTTGCTTCCAAACTTAGTAGTGGTAGTAATAAGCAGTTTCTCCGGCCTACTCGTCAATACACCTAGCCCAAACTGACTATAATGAAGGAAAGGAACAAAATGACTCATTAAAATGTGAACTTTCCACCAAATATTTAATTCATAATTAAACTATGAAATATGAAGTTGCAGTTTTTCAAAATCGTTTTTAAAATCTATTCTGATTCAGCAATACATTCTCCAATAAATGAGCTAAAACCTTTTTTTCCGTTTATTTAATTTATAACAATTGAAGACATTTTAAGACTAAACTAAAAGTTCAAGATATTATATATATATGCAGTCAGCATAGAGATTGTCTTCAAGATCATCTAATTTATCGAAAAGGCTCTGCATTGTAACCGTGCAAACTGCTCTATGGAAACCTCCCAGCATAATATATTGTGATTTAAGCCGTGTATCAAAATCAGGCCGTAAAAGTAATTAATACTTTTTAAACATAGAAGTAATGTCAATAAAAATGTGTAGCTCTGTAGTGAGAAAAGCTGTTCCACTAATGTTTTGAAAGATTCATTGAGATATACAATTCGTGGAGAAATACAATTTTTAAACTCTTTCATGCAGATATTCCTGAATCTATCTGCAACATTGTTGTAATTGATATCAATTGAACCGTTTTTTCCACTCCTACCAGTACTTTACACAAAGCATATTCATCATTGTGGCTACTTATAGAGAGTAAAGAATTACCACATTTTAGAACAAATACTCTTAAATATTTTACATCATTCAGCGCTAGTAGTTTCAATAGTTTGCTTATCTTTTTACACGGGAATCATAAATTTTCTAAAGTTCTATTTTTACATATTGAATCAAAATAATTTACAACACATTTAAGAAAACCCTGTCCAGCATCAATTTAAAACCAAACAACAATAAGGATTAAAACCTCTTTCTTTAATCATGCGAAGAATTAAATCTGAAAAATCTTTTGTAATTACCACACTGCGATATATCTGTGAATTTTGAAATCATAAAAATCTGACAAAGTGCTATACAGCTCTCCAAACTGAGTTGATATATTGTATTATAACATATCTTCCCTTAGTTTTGTTGCGTAACTACATACATACATTTTAGTAAAGTAGTTTTTCTTCTGCTTTGGTTTAGAATATTCGAAATTTCCGTTATAACTTTGAAAAGCAATTTTTTAAGACATACTCTGCTTCATTTATTATCAGATTTGCCAACAACAATAAAAAAGTTGTTTTCAAAAGTCTTTAAAAGAAATTTGACTCCAGGTTTGTTATTATCTTTCTCATTTTTTAAGATTCCCTGAAGCAACTTAAATAACAAAAATTTGTTAAAAAAAAATTTTTTAACAAATTTATGCAATTTTCTTTGAGGTTTAGTATTATTAGAATTAGAAGTCTAGAATCCCAGGCGTATGGTGAATAGAGAAGCAATTTCTCTATTCACCATACGCCTGGATCCGTCTGCTGTGGCATATGGTACAGCAATTTTGTTTGCAACACCTATTGATTTTTCCACAATGGCCTCAGTGAGTGCCGACTGTTTTTAAGAGAAATTTTTAGTTGCCAAAGCCACAATTCAGTGCGATTGTTTCAATGGTGCGTTTCTACAAGTTTCTTTTTTAAGTCATTCATATGTTATTTGCACACAACTCTGTTTTGTAATTCAGCTTGCGGAGAAACTTTGTAATTCTAAAAAATGTAAATTATTCATATTATATATGTAACACAACCTTTTTTTTTTCATAAGAGGAAAGGTTGTAAGGTTAAACACTATTTTTAATTTAATGGTATCCTCTGCATCCTCAGTACTATCTAGGTATACTTCGCATCACATTTATTTCAAAGTAAAAAAAAGTTCTTTAACTTTTAGTGAAATTACTATCGATATTACATTTGCATTCATCACTACTTTCCTCACTGCTGTTGCTAGAAAGCTCGACTGTACAAATAGCAGTTAGGGTAGCAGTAGCTGGTATTTTGAGTTTTACAGTTATATATTGTAAATGTCAAACTGACATTTTTTCTAGTTAGGCAAGTGCTGACAATGATGACCGACGATCTAGAGGAAGTTCACGAGGTTTTGCATTTCAGACAGTGCAATGATTTTTTCACAGGCCTTCTTTTCTTTTATTAGAGCTTGTCGGTAATCTGCAACCAATTGTCTTTCATCTGCTTCTGTAATACCTATTCCTAAATTTTCTTAAGGGTCTTTTTTGGCGTAAACTTCACAGCAAATTGTGCAATGCTACTGTGCAGTGGTTGCTATCACCTGAAAACACAAATAATGTTTGAAACATTCTACAGTATCTAAGATCATATGAATTATAAAATTTTTCATTTATGCTAAGCTAGACTACGAATTTGCAATAATATTGTATTAATGCCGTATTAAGCTATATTTCGTGCTTCATGAGGACCCATTAATAATAATTATAATTTTATAATATTTCAATAACTACGTATCACCAAAGGAACATGTTTAATATATGTATATATATATATATATATATATATATATATATATATATATATATATATATATATATATATATATATTTAGAATTTACCCCATGAGGGGGGTTGATGCACCCTTTTTTTCAGTCATCTGTTTTTTTTTTCTCCTTTCTGTATACCATTAGACTTTTTTATCAGAAGCTTCTTGTAGCTCTATACAAATCTTATAGCATGAATGCATATTATATTCAATCATTTCAATTTAAGTAAGTATTCAAAAGTATTCAAATTCAATTTATAATTTATTTATTTTCTTTCTATATTTAAGGAGTAATTAAATTTGGTATTTTTTATTTTGATTAGCTAATGTATTGATTGGGATTTAAAAACAGAAGAATCTATTGTAACATGTTCCAGTGAAACAATTTTTCTTGGTAAAACTTAATTTTTTTTTTTTTTTCAACGTAATACTGCCCCGGTTTTTTAGCAGTAGATTCTCGAACTTCTGCAAGACGTTCAAGAACTAATGGGGATACAAAGTTCTGAGAAGGTTTAGGTATGTCTGTCCTCAAAAATTTGTCTTTTTTTTTTTTTTTTTTTCTATCTTTTTTTTTTTTTTTTTAGTTGGTAGAAACCAGATGTTTTGGAACCACAGCAAAATCTTATATTTGGTTCATATTAGTCAAGAAATTAGATAGTAATCTTGAAAAAATATTTCTTGGTAGGAATGTATAATATCTTTCTTTACCAATTTTCTGTTCAATAATTACTTCTTGGTGATTTCATGGGTCCAAAAACTGCAATCAATAGGCTGAAGCAAAGGAGCACTATTTAAAGATAAGAAACCATTCTAAAGTTGCTGTTAGCTTTACAAATTTCGATAACACCAATAGATGAATGCCTAGCTAAAAAGTCACCTACAAGATGGTTTAGTGTGTTTTTGTCAACATATCTGAAGTAAGGTATTACTAATGTTTGAATCTGATCTTTAAAACAATAGTCATCAACACTTTATACACATTATGGAGAAAGATATACAGCATCAGTAGTACATGCAAATAGACACTGACTTTGATGCATTTATAACACACTAGCTGAGATCGGACTCGTAAAAATACGGATCTTTGTATATCTATTCCAAACCGAACTTTTCTTTACTTTTTCCTTATATATCCTAGCTTTCCTATTTTTTAGTAAAATAATTTATTTTGAAAAAAAAACTTAGAGCAAAAAACTTTACATGCGCATCTTTTCTGCCTGTTTTTTTTTTCGGTTATATGCGCTGTCATTAGTGTTGTTTTAGAGGATTTAAGACCTCCTTTTAGCGTATTGAATTTTGAAATTTTTTCAATCTTGCTTTATATTTACTTATAAATTCATAAATAAAAAAAAATAATTCTTTTGATTAAATAAATAAAATGAATTCTTTTGACTAAAAAATAAATAATATTAAACGCTTAAGTTAAGCCAAAAAGATTTTGGGCATAGATGTTAGTTTGTGGCAAAAGAAACCTTTATGCCTCATGTTTACTTATGCATTTATCTTACATTTTTTAAATTAATTTTCATTATGTTGCATACAAATGCATAAAAATATATAAAACTGGTACAGATATTATTTTTATGGATAAGAGATTGTATTTATTACAATAGAAATAAATAAGTAGTTTTTTACTTTATTAGAATAAATCCCACAAAAATATATTCCATATATCTTTAATAGATAGAGTTTTTTAAATAAATTGAACAAAGTCTTATTTCTATGACTATTATTTTTAAAGGTCTAAGAAATAATTGACATAACTTTAGCAATCAGAAATTATTAAGAGAGTGGCAAATCTAAAGTTGAAGTTTCCAATTTTCTACTCGGAAGTGACAATATGTTTCGTGTTTTTTTAATCTTGTCAATTTATTTAAATGTAATAACATACCTACAAAAAATCAAATTAAAACAGCTTGAGCAAAAAAGACTTCTCATTATTAGAAAAGTTTACTTATTTTACATACGATCCTGAATTAAACGTTATATAAGTGGATTTTTGTCATTTTATTAACAAGATATGTATAAATAAATAATATATATTGTTTACAAAGAGATAGTTGACCGCAACTAAATTTAAGAAAAATTAGTTTTTATCTAAATGAAAAATTATTTATATAAGGTTTCTTTGCTAAAACCAACGCGCTGTAATAAAATTTTTAAGTGCTATAATAAAATTTTGAACTACAACTAATATATTCACTATAAAAAAATTTTTTTACGAAAATAATATTTTTAAGCACTGAACTGCAATTACTTTTAATTTTTTTAGTTCAGTGGCTTTTGTTTAGAGCTTTTAAATTTTGCGTCAAATTATCTCGTTTCAACATAATCGTTGTATCATGCATACTGCAGCTGCTTTTCAAAACGCCTTAAGGTAAAAAATATCATTTTTGACTTTTTTTACAAAACTAGCTACTTTATATGTCTACAAACGCTATTGAATACATATTTTCAATGAGTTCTGAAAAAGTTCATCAAAATTATTTGTTTTAAAAAACGTTTTACAATGAGTTTATATTATATTATATAATAGCGAAGTCAATGCTCATTAGAGAGTGTTTGACACGATACTCTTGGCAGCCATTGCAACCGAGGTAATAGCGAGAAAGAGTAGCAGCACTTTCTTATATAAGAAAAGTCAACGAAAGTGTATGCTATTATCTAACTTACGCAAATATCTAACTTTCTTCAAATTATGTAATGTTAAAAACATACTAAATCATTTATCAAGTTTTCCAGTTTTACTTTTACTTGAAAATTGCATTGCGGCAACATCGCCTTAAGATGTGATCTGTAGCACTTAATTCCAAAAGTCTAAAATATATACTTTTTAAATCACTGATAAAGTCTGTGTAACCGAGTGGTTAGTACCCAAGGCTTAAAGCTGGAGGTCCACACTGCCAACGACTTTTTTTTTTTTTTTCTAAAATACAAATTAAAACGCATTCGAAGAAAAAAGTTTGTTTTGAAAGAATTTGTTTTGCATTTTAAATAATAAGTATTTAAGAAAAAGGCAAGCCTATGATTTAAACTTGCGACGCGACAATCATAATTAATTAGGGGGTTTAAAAAATATGTTTTTATTAAAATCATAATTCAAAATTTCAACTTTATATTTGAAATAAACCATTTTAATAACATTGTAATTTTTAATTAAATAGAGTAATAAGTTAAAATACATCATATCAAGGTAATTAGGAAATTTAAAGTTTTACAGTTATTTTACCAGACCACCGTTAATCATTCTAAAACAGTGCGCAACATTGACATAATTTAGATAACTATCAAAACAACATTATACTCTGTATAATATTGGAAGGACTCGGACGCTTTCAACGGATAAGGCAAAAGGCATTGTAGATATAATGTATAAATGTTAGTCATTGTAGATATATATATATACACGTAATCTGGACAAGCAACCGACATTTCATCTCTTATTTCATCTAAAATATAATCTTTAGTTATGCCCATCTGTAGTTTTGCTGCAATTTCTCTCTTTTGATATTTTGTCAAAGAAAGATGTTGAACCTCAGTTAGATGGCCGTAACAAGCATTAACCACAACATGCGTTTTGCAGCATGTCACTTTAAGGGTGAAATGCAAGAAGCGAGCTAAAAATTTAAAGTCGCACTTCAAACATAAAATTTGATTTAAGCATATGCATAGAGCAAACTTAAACTCAAGCTGTACTTGAAAACCGCAAAGTTTAACAGTTTTTAAGTTCGACTTGAAAAGCGACTTAAGAAAGCAAAAATCGTTTCCAAATGCAAGAAGCGAACTCGAAATTTCAAGTTAGACTACAAATCTAAAGTCTTACTAAAACGTTATGCAAGAATCGAACTTGAAAAAATTCGATTTTGAAAAGTGTGATTTCAAGTCGTTTTTTGAAGTACAGACCAGTCTTGAAACCAAACTTGAATTTAAAAAAAACAAATCGCCGTTATTATTTTGAAAATACGCGATTGATACTTATATGCTTTGTTGATATATTATTGCTTTATTATAGAAATATTTGTGAGCATATTCATAAATGAATCACCAAAAGAATCATAGTTATTATGTTATTATAAATATATTACTGTCATTGCGGAAACTTGTGCCTTTTTATTACTCTAATAATTATGTTGCTTTTTGATAAACTTTATTATAAAGCTATAAAGAATCTCTGTCTTAAATGACTATAAAGACAGACAGTCCTTATAATAAAGCCATACAATTATCATAGTCATAAAAACACACGTTTTACCTTTACAAGTAAAACAACTTAACAACGTATATAAACATCAGATTGTTAATAATAAATTTGAGACATTTTAAAATAATATTTTTAAATGTCTCAAGTTTTGAAAATATTAATTAACTAATTCATAATAAAGTAATTATCCTGTTTATCCATAATAAAACAGTCTGCAGCAAGCAGGAACATTTATGTTAAGTTGTTTAAAAGGTTCTTCTAAGTAGTAAGCAGTTTGAGTTACTGATGCATCAGTATCATCGATGAGAAGTAGTAAAAAAGTATAAACACAAATTAAAATTTATTTTAAAAAAAATTATGAGTCAATATGAGCTACAGTTTAGAAGAGGAAGAAGAAGAAATATTCCTAATCACATTCGAAGGAATATTATTGACAGATCCAATCCTTCGGAAGTCTACAATAATATTAAATTTAAAAATCGATATAGATTTAAAAAAGAAACTTTTATAATACTAACTAATAAATTCATTAATAACAATATAAATAAAAGAGGCCAACCTCTTTCTCCAGCTCAACAATTCTAAATTGCATTTCGTTTTTATGCAACTGGTTCATTTCAGCTAAGAAAATGTTAGAAAATATAATAATCATAATAGTAATAATAACATTCACATAATGTATACATTATATTTATACATATATATAATTTTAGAATATTCAGTGAATATATACTTACATACACTTCATTTTAGTTTATATATATATCTTAGTTTATATATTACTTAACTTATTTTAATGAATTCTTTCAGACAGTAATACGAGATTTAGAAGGATTGAAAATCAACCAATCTACAGGATGTCGAGTGGTTAAGAATATTTCAATCCGAATTGCTCAAAAACGATATCAATACATAATGTTTCCCTTAGAAAATGACGCTTTGATAATCCTGCATAGGTGCTTATAAGTTTATTTGATATATCCATTTATCACTAGTAAATGTTTTTGCTGCTTTTTATGAAATTAAATTTTTTAAATATAAAAAATTATTTGTACTTCTTTAGATTTTATGAACTACGAGGATTCTCTGGATGTATTGTAGCAATAGATGCAACACATATTCCTATAATAAGTCCTGGCAGAGAAAATGCAGAATCATATAGAAATAGAAAGGGATATTTTTTATTGAACTGCCAGGCAATTGCTGGTCCTTCAAATGAAATTTTGTCTGCATGTGTTCAATGGCCTGAAAGTGTTCACGATTCACAAATTTTTTCAAACTCAGCCATTAAACAAGTTTTAGAGGCTCGTCAACATGTCCATGTTATAGGGAATTCTGGATATTTGTGCAATTTGACGCCGTTTGATTACCCAGAAAATATTAGTGAAAGAAAATACAGCTTCAGTTTGAGTAGCACACGTGTTACAGTTGAATGTTGTTTTAGTATTTTAAAAAAGCGATTTGGTTGCCTTAAATTCCTCTACGAACAAAACTGAAAAATTCTGTTGCAATTATTATATCGTGTTTTGTGCTTCACAACATCGCCCTTATTGAAAATTATTTTTGTGTTTTTGATGAAATAATAAATGATAATGATGAAAACGGTGCTGAAGCATATACACGAGATATTATAGGGGAAATAAAAAGAAATCAGATTGTGACACAATTCTTTTTATAAACATTTAAATTAGTATATAACATAAAAATATAATAAGAAACATTTATTCATAATTTACAAATAAATAAAATTCAAACAAAATAATTAATAATTTTTTGTATGGTTTTTATTGTAACTGTAACAACTTCTTTTCGTAAATTTCCATTTTAATTTCATGTTCAATTTATTAATTTTGTTGCTTTTGCAAGAGTAAGTTTATTTTTATATTAGATATTTCTATTTACTTATGCATTAGTTCTTTATCAAGTTCACGAATTTTATTTTCTAGATTTTTACTTTCTTGTTTGGAAATAGATAGTTTATTTAACGTTTTTGAGCCTTTTTTTTTTCGGATAAGTTAATGAATTAGATAGTATCAAAGAATCACTAACAATATTTTGTTTTGATTCGCTACATGTTTCGTTTATTTCTGAGAGCGTGTCTTCAAAAATGTTCTCCAATGACTAATTTTGTGTACCTTTATAATAATATTAACATTATAGAATGGGCAAATAATAATATGTAAAAAAGCAAGAAAAAAAAGTTTCTAAACCAATAGT